AACTTTTTGAAGTAAAAGAGAACTTTATATGCCAACGCACAAATGCATTAAATAAATAAATATATTTTATGTTAAGTGTTATACTACTTGGGGGCAAGTGAGTAAGTAATTTAATATAAGAATTTTCACCATTCTGGTGAGGAAAATAAGAAATAATTTGAAATTTATATTCAGTAGTTTTAAAGGCTCCATAAAACAATTTTCTGAAGATATTTTGAATTTTGTGAGCTAATGCCATGTGTATCTCCTTTGGCTTTCTAGTGTTGGCACAAAAACCATTTAAGTGTTTGACAGCTGTCAGAAATCAATATCGTTCATTACAAATATGTAAATTATTTATTAAAATATTTTACTTTAACAACAGCTGTTGGCTAATGATTGACGGAGCTTGTAAAAATATTAAGTAAAGCTGTCACTGATTACATTTTAATGAATTTGTAACAACTTAATTTTGGGTACTTGAAATGGTTTGGCCATGAAAAATTAAAATAGCTGAAGTTTCAGTGTAGCAGCCAATGAAGCGTAATAACTTATGTTAATCAGGGAACAAAAAAATGCGGACGAAAATTTTCTTATATTTTTTGTTACAAAAAAATTTTATTTTAAAATATCTACAATAATTTTTTCTATAACTTTAAAATTTCCATAATTCCATGCTATTCAAAGAAAGTATATTTCATTCACTTACCTGAAAGTTAATGCTAACGCATGTGTCACAAACTGTACGTATTTGGTGTGTATACGAAAAGCGACTACCTGAAAAAGAGGACACCGATTATTCTACGTGGGATTAAAACTTAGTAATGGTTAAAATAAAAATACCTAAAACTAGCATATGCATGACTTTAGAATAGAAAAATATAATATATGATATATTTATTTAATTTGCGTTTGTCTTCGATTCATCATTTATCCGCTTGTTATGCTTGAGCACAGCTCTCTTGTCAAAGAAGGTCATTCTTTTTGTTTTTGATTATACTACTACATTTCTTTTTTGCCAGTTGTTTATATCTTGAACATCTGTTTATATCTTAAGTTTGCTAAGAACTTTGTAACACTCAGAAGGAAACGTCGGTGACGCTATTAAGGGGGTATTCTAGTCTAAAGAAATTAATTTTAGAAAATTTTTGACGGGTATCTTTTTCTTTTAGTTATTTATTAACATTACAAGAACACAGGAAAAATCCAAAAAAAAAATAAAGTGGGGGTCTCATAAAATTGGCATGTGACCATACCCACGATTTCAACCCTCCTAGCAATTTGAAAAAAATGCAGAAAAGAAGTATTAATCTAGAATAATGTCGCAATGCGTGGAATTCGGGAAAAGTTTGAAAGCATTTTTTTCGCGAAATGGCGGCTGCACAAAAAAAATATTTCTGTATTACGTTTTTTTAGACTGTTTCGAATTTTTTAAAAATAGTGAAATTTGGGCATATTGCTGGTTCCAGAAATAGACAAGTCTGTAATGAAGACTGTCTAGTAAATTGGTCTAGTAGAACCTGAGAAATTGGAGGAATCATTTCGAAAAAGACAGTTTCAAGAAATACGCGTTTAAAGTTTCAGTTCTGGCCGAACCAGCAAAAGACCTATGTATATCTTCGAAAATTATTTGAATTTTATAAATGATCACCATGACGAGCTGAGTCGGTTTAGCCGTCTGTTCGTTGATGTATACTTTTGACGGAATCGCCGATATCACCATTATAGGATATAGCTGCCATACAAAGTGATCGATCAAACTCAAATTCTTGTATGGAAAACTTTTTTATTTGGCAAGATATTTTCACGAAATTTGGCACAGATTATGATCCAAGGCAGCCATAAAATCTCCAAACAAATTGCTTAAATCTGACCACTATTTCATATATATAATCAAGATAAAGATCTTTATATATCTTTTTGTGCTATAAAAATGCACGTGTATAGAGTATTATAGCTTTGGGGCAACCGAAGTTAACGTTTTTTCTTGTTTCTATTCTTTAAAATAAGTACATATATTTGTATGCCATGAAATTACACTGACTTATATTTATGTACTTTGTCAAAAGGGAAAACCTACCTAGACCTATAATTTTATTTTTTAATATTTAATAGTTTAGGGAAAAAAACACTCAAAACTAAAAAACCCTCACCTTATCACAATTTTTTGGCTTTCTAAGCCAATACGGTCGCCATAGAAGACCATCAGTAATAATGCACAACGCAATGATCCCATATAGTTGTAATTATAATATTAATTAATTGTAATTCCCCCATCGAATTCAATTAGCATTTTTCGTGGGAAAATATAACGGAAATAGTGTGAGTAATTAATGTGTTCTGTGTCTATCCTCAGCCATAAGCTTTTTCACCACATTAATGGCACAAGGTCATATGCTCTCAGATGGGCTTACTCTAGTCACTATATGTATAGACACTACATCAGTACCCCATGGCAGTACATACAATTGTTAATTCATACACATGTATAAATATATATATAAACATCTCCTTTCGGTCATATTTCCTCTGGGACAATAATTTTGACACTTACTCCATGTTCCCTACTACTACTAATAGTACAAATGAACATTAATTTCGACCATTCCGGTGCTTATCATTAATTAAGCTTCCATGGGGAAACGTTGACTGCTGTTTGCGTAGAATTTCACGAAAAATTTGTATATTTGTTTTATTATTTTCGGAGTTTCTATTAAAGTGTGCGCTTCCCTCTTGGGGAATTTTAGTTTAATTAAAGTAATTGATAGTATATTTTATTTAATCATTTTCATTTCCGTCACTTGCAGAAAAATATAGCCAATTTAGAGTTAAATAGAAGCAGTTGACTGCTAATGACATAATTAAAAAACTATTGAAGAGATGATATCATGCAAAAAATAATTATATTCAACAAAAAGAATATGTAATTAGAAAAGTGATTGGCTTAATACTAGGAACAAGCAGAAGCTTCAGAAGGAATTGTAATTTGAAAAACTGCCGAAAAGATTTTTTATTTTTTTCAGTTACACACTTTATTTTTGGAGGAAAATATGCAGACTATATTTAGCATATATTTCAGCTATATTTGAAATGATAAAATTTCGAAGGAGTTTGTTTCAAAATGTTGAGTCCTCTGCGCTGCTCCACAATCTAGTAGATGATAATGATTTTATTCAGATCCGATAATAGCATATCATAACTACTTCAGGATCCTTTCTCTGAGGGAATTTTTATTATTTAATCGACCAAATTACCAATTCAATGATATTCAGCGAGTCGTCTACTTCCACGCTCAGTCTATTTTTGACGGTGGATTGCAAAAAAAAAAAACACACACTTGATATTTATACAATTATTCTTTTGTTTCATTAATTAAAACTTAAACTTGGATTTAGAAAAAAAACAATCTCTCTTTTTCAAACCTCTATCATAGACGAGTTTTTGATCCACCACTGCCGGTGAGACGTGGTCGCTTTCCTGGCATTAGCTTACAGTTTCAGAATCTTGAAACCAAATAATAAAATGTTATTTGCTTAATCTTTATAAGACTTACAAGCTTTTTTGAATATTTGAAATTCTGATAAAATGGTAGCGTTTTAAAATAATACATTTGTGAGTGACCATGTTTTGAAGCTAAAAAAGACTGTAATAAAATGGAAAAATAATTCCAAAAAAGCTCGTGTCTAAACATAGTAAGATGTAACAATATACAGATTTTTAATATCTTTTATAGTTTTATCAAAATCGTACCTAAGAAAAAAAAAACGATTTTTGGAAAAACACGTTTGAAGATAGACGTCGGGTTCGGGGCTCTATATTTTGTAACAACATGCATTTGATCAAATTCTTTATAGAGCATGTTACCTATAGAGCATGTTACCTATTATGTCTACTATAATTATGTAAAAATATATTACTTTATTCAAACCACGAAGAAAGACGAGATCCGCTTCAGTAGCACCGAAATTTATGTATGTTTTAGAGCAATAACCTTTGGATAATTAATTTAGATTAGAAATATGCTAACGATACTTTTTTGAAGATCGACCTCAATTTAACTGTCCCGTTTCTTGATTGGCTTATAAACATTTGTTCTCAATTTTATTTTTATCGAAACTGACCATTTGATAGAATTTATGTTGATTATAGACTTAAAGTGAATATTATTTAAACTTTTTATAATTATCTTAATGATCCTATGAGCTCTCGAAGTTGGATAGATAACAGAAATAACTGTGTCAAAAGCTCTGAAGAGACGGTTTCGCCGTTTGAAAACATTATTGAGAAATCGGTTCGACCTAAAATACAGTCTCTTTGGATTATATTATCACGAAACTATTTGTCATCTACATAGTACCGTCTAGATTCATCATACTAAATTTAAAGATGTGCATCATTATAGATCATAGTCATATAATAGATATAGCATCATCAGTATCTAATCTTGTGGTAAATGATGAATAACAACTACGATATACGATGATAATTCTCCATACGACTGAAAGTTTCAGGTCAGAAATCTTTAAATTGTTTTTTAGAATCTATGTGAATACAGTAAACTCCAAACTATCGATGGCGCTATAGATCTATAGATATCCTGAATGACAATTATTTTTTTGCGATAATCGCCCTTTTGTTGTTATTATTAATTATTCGAATTCTAAGTTGAAGATACTCGAGATGGAAACTCGAAAATATGCAGATATTTTTTGGAAAACAAACAGACGACGATTTTTGAAGACTTTGAACTCTTTTTAATTTTGTGAATGAAAAATTAAACCACGTATCGTTGATTTTTGAAAAACTGTCGAAAATGGCAAAACGCTTCAAATAGAAAAGAGTATGATCCGACGTCGGTAACATTTTCTCTCTCCGACTGGTTAATAAATTAACTGCCTTAAAGAAATGGGGAAACAAAAGCTACATACAAAAGACCAATTTTTTTTAAAATAAAGATAAAATTTTAATTCATATCCATTTGTAACACTTAAAATCAAACAAAAGTAAAATAGATACATATATACATTAATAAAACGATTATCAATCTAATATATTTGAAATATATTTGGTCTTGTCAGTTTCTTCCAGTCAGCTTTAGTCCAAAATCACAGCATACAAAGGCACATTGAGGTAGTTTTAAAATCCTTTAAGATCCATCAGTATTCAGCTCATCCAACAGCCTGCGAGACAACGACAGATCCGCATGGAACGGAGCCGCGTGTTCACAGTTCGGTCGAGACGATAGCGCGTGTGACACCAAGACCAGGCACTACCGCAGCTAGTGGAACACTAGGCGCGGCGTGCTTACCCTTCTTGGCATGCACACGATAACGTTTCGGCGCACTGACACATTCAAAATTCTGCAGCTCGGTATATGCGGGATGATCATCTGGACTAAATTGACCGGCAATCGCTTCGGGTATGGCGGTGACATTGGCAAATGAGTATGCCGGTGCATCCTGTAGATATTGGCGCCAAAGACAATAAGTATCCGATGGCGGCGCAATGTCGACATAACTCACTGCGCTGCTGCACGAAGACAAATCGCGACGTGCACAAAACGGCGACGATGTCTTCGGCATTAATTGTACGTTCTCGCGCATCATTAAGATCTCCATTTTTAAATTCGAAACGGGTTGATTGCCACTGCGCTCAGACGAGGTATCACCCTTACTGCAACTACTGCTTGTATTACTTGATGGACTCATATCCTTTGTGTGTAATAATAGACCATTGTAACTGAAACTGCTGCAACTGCTATCCAAATCGTCCGTCGAACCAGTGAAGTAACCAATCGAATGTTCTGTTACGCGATTATGTTGTGCTGGTGGCGGTGTCTCTTGTTGTGGCTTTTGTTTGTCGTTAAGCGTAAGACGCGCTAGCGCTTTTGGCATATCCTTGCGGCCGAGCTTTAGAAAAGCTGAACGCTTTTGTGGAATTTGTTTATTTGTCGTCGGCGTGGAGGAGTTTCTCGGTGGAGGTGGCGTGCTGCAACTGCTCCATGTGCTCGCACTGCTATAACGTTCCGATGTATTGTTGCTGCTATGCTCCGTAGAAATTCCACTGCTGGCGGTACAGTTGACGCGGCTGCTAAAGTTACGTTTACGCGGTGTTGAGCGGCCGGGCATAGTTGTGCCGTAGCTACTGTCGCTGGTGTCGTAGGAAAAATTGCTCGATGTGCAACCCATTTTGTTAAAACTAATATATTGATATTGAAATTGCAAAAACTAAAACTTTTTTTGCTAAATGTGTGCGCTCCTAACTCAATCACTGTGCGTTTGATAATGAGTGACCTACGCAGCGGTACGGGTATTTATACTTTCAAGTCACATTCCTGAGACGACCGCATGTCAAACTACCTGCGGGCGGTAATGTGACAGCAAGCGTTGCATTTGGCGGTGATAGCAGCGTCGCAGAGGATGCGCGCTTCGTTACTTACCTGCTTACGCTTCGTTTCAAGGAAGTTTCATGTAAAGGCAAATATCGTTAACCTTCGAATTTTCGCTTTTCCGCTTCTTTTGGCAAAATTTACATTTTTCTAAATTGTGTTTTACATTGTAAAGGTGTTGGTTGTTGGTAGGTTCTTTGTCTACGACAACACATCGGACGCATAGTGTGCGTGCTAATTCAAGGTACCATATTCGGCTGCATGGTATATCCCTTGCAGCTGTATGTCGCCACATTTAACGTTTCGTGGATTTAGTCTCAGCAGGTATCGACTATTTACTTAGTTACTGTAACTATTTGTTGCCACCTTTTATTTGCGCAGACAGACATTGCTTGTTCCTATTAACCTGGTCTAAGCCGCTGCGTGTTGTTGGTACATGCTAATTCTTCAATAACACCTACAAGATAACGCTCATGTTAACATGTTGCTTATTCAAAAATATTATTTTTTCGCGACTGTACATGTATTGTTATCGTAGATGACCATGCATTTTGTAGAGTGGTTCGTCTTTTGGTTCTTTGGTCCTTTGGCTGCTTCGACCACAAAAATAGTATTTGGCACACTAATCACAGTTCATATTGTTCGAACGCATATGCTAATTTCTTTCGCAATATCTACAATTCTTTTCGAAAATTATGTAAACAAATTGATTGGACTTTAATGAGTTTCCAATATTCAACGAGACGGTCAGAGGGGCTCGCTAATTTCAATACAATATAGGTATAGGCGAGTCTATGCATTACTGTTTCATTGTCTGGTATTATATTGTATAATACATTGTATATGGCTGCGTTTCCACCTTACTCAAAATTTTGGCTTAAAAGAAAGTGTTTTGTGTCGAAATCATGTATAAGGATTAGTTTATAAAAATCAGAAAAATCGAGAGAGAAATATTAGTTAATATTAATTTCATAGAACATTCGTCATCAAAACTTGCTCCAATTAAAATTCAGATCAAGCGCAAAATTTTGCAAATAGTTTTCTTTAAATGTAATGTGCCTTTTGAGGTTATTTAAATAACAATCTGTGCTCTCTATACTTCTCAAACACATGGAAACAATATCACATAAGCGCTAGGTAGGGTGTTCCAAAGAAGGACAAGGATCCGACGGTTGAATCTTTCGATATCGTAAGTTCTAAAAGTTACTTCAGGATAGCTTATGCTGCAACAACCAGTCCCAAACATTCTAAAATTTGCAAATATTGATGTTAAATTTATCCATCCGAGCTTAATCTTTTCCGTAAATATTTACCATTTGAACTACTCTTTTTGGTAAATGTGTGAGTCGAGCGAGTACTGAGCTCATTTTTATTGGAACTTTTTCAGTGGAACGATAAAGCTCCTTCCGTGCAGGTTATGGCAATTTTTACCATGGAAAAAATTTAACAACGTGTTTGCTTAAAATTTTATGTTTCCAATGAAATCACGACTACGAAATCGTTGAAAATGTTGTAGAAGTGTTTTGGGGAGTCTACTTTATCATGAACACAAATATCTGATGGACAAAAAACCTTGTAAAAGCAATGTAGGCGCTAATAAACCTCTCTTAATGACGACAACATTTAAAAAGTTAAAGAAACAAATTGTATATCGTGGTGTTGGCATCAGAGAGATGGTAGATGTCCTCAACATCTCTTATGGATCGACTCAACACATTATGGTTAATATTTTGGGTAGTGAAGCGCATCAACGCTAGCCTCGTACTAAAAGACATGAAACTTTTGCAAAAGCGATAGCGATAGTATAGAGGCCGCAAATGTGAAAATGTTTTTTGTGCTTTTTGTTAGTCCGAGTAAAATATTATCAGATGTATATTTAAAACTTGTGTAACTACATAGTTGTAATGGAAAAAATTAAAATCCTTTTTTATAAGAAATTCTTTAATTCTTAATGAACACATTTTTCCCCTAAAACTCTTTTCTACAACTTTTGTGTCATACATGCGCATTGTGCGCTACGCTCTGTCCACAAAGGTGCCACACCCAACCGCTACCGTTCCGTTTTGCCTACATAAAAGGATTTTCCATATGTTTTTCGAAATAATTAGTCGAGTAAATTGACATATGGCAGCTTAAGTCTAATGCATAGACAGTACAAAAGACGTCTTGTGTAAAAATCCCAGCATTTTACTATATATAACTGGAGGTTCTCAAGAAAAGAGGGAAATTTTTCGCGTTGTATGCGGGAAGGATAGGCAAAAAATGCGACGGAAATTTCGCTAAACAAATGCTGGCAGTGGTGATAAAGGTAATTTAATGTTAATATATGAAGAGGTGCGCCACATATACCATAAAGCAGTACATATATGTGTGTATGTCTTTGGAGTGCCTTCAATTATCGCAAGGCAACACCGCTTTCGGGCAATTTAGTTCAAGGCCAGCGTTTGTTTGCTTTGTGCATTTGTCAGCAAAACAAGATGTTATTTGTAAAAAGAAAATATTTAATTTATGACACTTGAATGCCAGCTAGCAATGTGCTTACATTTCGAAGTGTTTGCACTTATGTCAGTACAACGTTAAATATGTTTGCAGGAATGTATTTCAAGTATCAACACAAAGTGCTATTTGTGCGCTCACTTGCGTTTGCAGAAGAGCTAAATGGTTCTCCATGTGTGTATGTCTGCATTTTGGAATAGTTCGTAGTTCAAGTGAATCGCTTGGTTACAAATGAAATGTAAACATGGAAGCAATTTACATGCCAAACCAGTCGAAAGTGTGAAAATGTGTCTTATTATTGTAGCAATTTCCGTTGGCTCACTTAAACGCCTGAACAGGCTACGGGTATGCAGCTCCACTTTGGCGGACGCGCCAATTTGCAGCTTCCGCTTACCTACCATTTACTATATCGGTCGTTTGCATAGCGAATGCGATAAAGGAATTTTCAAGTACGCGCAGTTAGTTGCAAGTTTATTGGCAAACTATGGTGGATTTAACAATATTGAAATGCGCTGCACGCGCTCAAAAATGGGCGAATATGCGAAGTGTGCGGTGTTAGCGTGATATTTTGTGGCGCGGAATTATTGGGTTAAGCGGCGCACGAACTCGTTGGATATATTGGTGGCGCATATGGTGGCGCTGGTGGGTAGATGCGAAAAATTTCCATAATTTTTAAAATTGCGTTGGTTATGCTAAAAAACGAAAACAAGTCATATTCAAAACTGGTTTCTTATTCCATACAGGGGGTCACATATTGAAGTGTCAAAGGAGGTTTGACAGTTTCTGAATAGTGAGCATGGCCTTTACAATACTATTATGCTTATTTATCTATAGTACAACTAGATTTTTAACACTCGGATATAGAAAAGGACAAAAATCTGACAAAATGGCAACAATTTAAAAAGTGCTTTTTGCATAATTTTTTTTTCAGCTATAAAAGAGTAAACATTAAAAAGATAATTTTTTTTTATAGCGAAATATTTTTTGAATCAGTAACAATTCACACATTTCGAATATTTAAAGCTCTGAGCGGCGTGAACAGTCAGCGCGGGGCTGGGTTTTAGGTTTAATATTTAGTTAACCAATATGCTTTCGATTAAATCCTTTATTGTACAGCTTTCGTTTTATGTTGATATAAAAATCGACATTTTCAAAACGAGATGACAGACGACTCTCTTAAAAGCTTGGAAAATGAGAGTCATATGGTCTTTATTCATAGTATCCAATAAATATATCTTAAAATGTCTCCCACAACACTAAGTATGAGAAACGTCCCAAGTAAGATAAGTTGATACCAAATATCCACCAAATCAAAATTTCCCGACTGCATACAGCAGCTAATCAATTAATTTATATCGTACATATGGGCCAATATTTGAGATATGTATCTTGATCAACATGCACTCCGCTTTTCGAATAATTATGCCTTGAAGTAAATATATTTTTATCTGACCATGGAAAAAATATTTCCGAAAACAATATACTCATTGTTAAGTGCGGTGGCACACAATATATATTTAGTATATTGTATGTCTATTTCGTGATATGAATTTCCCGCTGCTTAAACCCCTTTTGTGTCCCCAAAATTAAGTGCTCTCATCACTCATTTATGGTTTTCTACGAATCCAATTTTATTTTCGGATGTACATAATTCCCCACAGAAGGACTAAGGGTAATTATTTAGATTTCCCCATGCAGTAGTTTTCCACCTTAATACACAACAATGCATAGGTATAAATATGTAAATACACCTCTTCTTGTGCAAACCTTGGCTTTGTATGCCGACGCGCACCTCCCGATCTATTTACTTTACACGGTTACACGTGAAAATAATTTATTTGTGAATACATGCATATATGAAATACACAGCACTTCAACTTCAAGTGTAAAAACACTTCCGGTGCTAACGGGAAAGCCCTTTATTCTTGTAAATATGTCAGTATTTGCTTTGCATTTTGTGTAAGACAAATTGATGCCGTTAAAACCAAAGTTTAACATAATATTTAAGCGTAACACATGTGAAATTCGAGCGAATACATTCACTTCATCGAGGTTATGTTTTGTACGACATTTGAGAACTGTGCCCGTTACCTTTGTAATGGGAGCGGTCCATAACCAGATCCAATTCCATAGAAAAAAATGTTAGTTTGAGTCTTATTTTTTAACTCAACCCCATATATATCCAACAATAACTGAGTTACCTAAATGGAATATCATATGTTGTAGTAAAACGGAAAACCCTCATATAAAAAGTTCAATGAGTTCCGAAATTGTGATCACCTATCTTTCAGATCATAGCTGAGCAATTTTTATGAAACTATGTATTATCCGCGGTATAAATTAATTTTGGACTAAAAATGGTTCAGATTGGCCTTTAATCTTACTTATTCTATATATTATGTTAGACATTTTTCTTTTGAGAAAATGGCGCGCATATTGCAATCTGTTTTGGTACACATGGTAGGATATACCATCTATTTCTTTGCTTTCTCATAACGATATAATGATTTAAACCCTACCGATTGACTGTGAAATGGATATCTCTCGCAATATGTTAAGTTAAGTAATTTGGCAGCAGAAGTAGACTCAAACGATTTATAATTTTTTTTAATAAAATAAGTACTTACTTCTGATATTTTGATATTTCAAACTGGGAACTGAGAGCACTCCTATTGCGTTTACGCCTGTTAGATGACGCAGGAATCAATGTATAATGATACATTGGATATATGTTCCGATCAGGCTCACATTCCAAATAAATATTGTAAATGTCAAAGAAACATTTTTTGTAAAGAAAACACGAATTCACTAAAACAGAGTCTAACTGTTATCTAAAATGTAATTGTAATGTAATTATGATCAGAAACAAATAATAAAACAATTAAGTTGTATTATCCTCCATTATTATTAGCTTTTAAATTTATCAGTTTTTCGAGTGGTAAACTTCGTGAGTTCAATATTCTTGCAAATTAATCTCAAAAAATTTGTATAAATTGATAAATTGATTGTTTCATTGGTTGTATGGCATGTAGCGGCGTCTTGTTAGAACCAAAGATCGTCCACAGCAACATCGTTCAATTTAGGCACGAAAAAGTCACTTATCATTGCTTTATAGCGTTTACCGTTGACATCACATAACATTATGACCCACTTCATTTTTATCGACACATGAACCAATGATTTCTCCTCTGTACAAAGAGCACACCAAACAGTGTCTTTTTGAAGATGTAACGACGTCTCAGCAATGGCTTGTGGATTATAATCACTCCAAAGGCGACAATATTGTTTTAATTCTTACATAAGTTGAATTTTGTAACCCAGAAAACGGATGGGCACATCTGCAATTGTGTTTGCATGCGATGGCGGAAGGATTCATTGGGATCGTCTTCGTTACTCTGATGCACAGCAGCAATAGCTTCTTCGGTGCGCACTGTACGGCGTCTCTGAGGAAGCGCATTAGCCACTATTATAAATGTGGTGCAAAACCGATTTATGGCTGCTCGAGTTACCGACTCTGCTTGGCGATTATGTCGACCGAATATTGGAAGCAGTGTGCGATGCGTCACGCAAACCGAACTATTATTTTTGTAATAAATGGCGTGATTTGCCAACGTTGTTCTGGAGTAAATCTGTTTATTATCAAATGGCAAATTTAACTGAATATAAATCAAGTAACAACTGTCATAAGGACCTACTCGGAAAAAAGTATTGCCTCATTGAAAATCAAACGTCTAAAAAAACACACCCGTTATGTGTATAACAGTGTGAACTTGAATAAAATGACTAAATATTTACATAGAGATTCTTATTTTGCCTTTAATCCATTATCTACAAAAGCTTGTGTACAAAGCCAAAGAAAGCTCACCTGAGGTTATAATAACTTAAATTGTACATTTAATTCTCCACAACTGCTAAAATAAAAGGAACGTGGCCACAAAAGCATTCCACTTATAAAACAATACCAATTCATTCTTCAAAATCAAATGGAACCAACTTTTGTGTGTTTTAATTGCTTTGAGTCTACGCACAATGCTTGTTTAATATCTTTTTCCAATAAATTTATATTTTTTTTATACTCTTTTATTTCATTTTAACTTATTTTACGGTTGAATCTATTTGACAATTTTGCCTCAATACTCAGTTTGCAGTTTTGCTTTTGTTATTGCTTATAACTAAGTTCCATAAAATTTACTGTTGTGCTGCTTATACTTCCATTGGGGTAGGTTTCACTTCATTGCGTCCTCATAGTTTTTTCCGTGCTCGTTGGGAATCGATTGTTAAAAGTTTTCACTGAAGTGGTTGACACAACAACTTTATGGTTTGCTCACTTGTTTAGACTGTTTCTGGTGTAAATTAAAATTGGTGAGGGCCCCGG